GTAATCCAAAGGTACCAGCTTCTTGAAGTACTTCCTCAGAGCCCATGTCTGCATCAGCCTTGTTCTGCTTCTCCAGTGACTTTACCTCCCTTTCAGCATCCTTGCTGTGCAATTATAGTAGCTGACACCCATGCCCTGTCCACTTCTAGGTTGGGTAGTTCTCCATGCCAGAGATGTGAGCTTAAACTTAAGACTGCTTAGTCCTGTATAAACTCCTATCTTGTTGCCACTAAACTTCTCCTGTAGTAACTATTTGAATTCAGTGTTGGCTGTAGTTAACTACAACAAAAGCAATCTGTTTTCTTCTCTTGATAGATCTATGTCCACTGCCTGCTGACTGCCTGGGGCCAAAGGACCCTCTCAAGACATGTCAAGAAATCCTGCTACTACAACACTGCCTCTTCCAGGTTAGCTCAACCCTTGGAAGCTATTTGAAGCTGAAATAAGTGCTCACCAGCTTGTCACAGGTGAGGGTGTTCTTGGACAAGGAACGGAGGATGGTGTTTTGTTATAGCCTGGCCAGTTGGAAGCTGCTTGAACATTTTGATATTTAGGAATGTCAAGATGACCAGCTGGAACTTGTGTGTGTGGTAGGGGGTATCTTAAATGGGAACCACCATGGCTTGGCTCAGTCACTTTCCTTCAACCCCTTTGCTTGCTTGTCTACAATGGTGCCAAATGGCTGAGGTGCTAACAAGGGGTCTGGTCCCTCTTCAGTAATAGCTTTCCATGGAGTTCAGAGGTCAAGTTGCTACATGGAAACTTCCATCACAGCTGGCAATCACTGGAAAACTCTGCAGAGAAGCTATAATGTGAATGGGGGAGGGTGGGTGCATACCTTTGGGATTGGCCTGCAGGTGAAGGTTGGCAATAGTTTGAGGGACTGTTTTTTCTAGTTCCCCTTGGACTCTGCACTGGTGTCCTTTCCGGTGACCATCCTCCTTCTCTTCCACTTCAGCTGGCAAAACCTGGAGGATTCTTCCCAGAATGACCTGTGTAACTGCTGTGACAGTCACTGCCCCTCTGACTTCTCCCCAGAAGAACAAGGTACTGGGACACTGCATCCATTCTGTTTTGTGCATCTGCAGGTTCTGCCCCCCTTGGTGAGCACAGGAAGCTGTGGTGATGTGTTTCTGTAGGCTCTAGATTGCTGGCTATGGAAGTAGTGCACTCATTACTAGTGGCAACTCTAGAAGACCCTGACCTGGGGCAGGTAGGGTATTGACACTTGTCTAGGGATGGTTGGAGGGGAATGTAGCATCTTATTCTTCATTGTAGCTGGCTATGTTGCGCTGCTGCTGCCCCTCCCACAAGACTGGTATAATGTTAAGGAAACTTGCTCTTGACTGGCTTGCTAGGAGGCTTTGCAACTTCTTAGCTGGGAAGAGTGGCCATAGAACAACCACTTGCTGATGCTCCTGCTCTGGAGAGAGTACTCCCTTGGACTCGCTGTCCAGCACTGGACACATCCACGTCCTTAACAAAGGTTCTAGAGGGTATCAAGTCACCTAGCCAGAGGTGACTAACCTATTTTTCAGTGCACCTGTGAGGTGGGTATTGGAGACCACCTACAGGTGACAAGATGGTGAAACCTGTAGGCTGGGTCTTGCAGCTGCCCTCTGGCTCTGTGGGCTACCTCCTAAGTAATGAGAAGCTTGAAAGGTAGATATAAAAGTCTGTATCCTTCTTGCCTAGAGTTTCCAGGTGAAGGGATGCTCCATAGAAAAACAGTTGGTCCCTTGACAGTGCACAAGGAAGAGGCTCCATGGTATGAAGGTGAGTATAAAATAGACTTAATGGAGTCTGCACTGGGAGGTGTGAGTGATCCTGGATTAGACTCCAGAGCCTTTCTGACCATCAAGACTGCCCTACTTTTTTCAGGATGCAAGTGTTTGGTGCTGCAAGCTCCCTTGTAGTGTTCTCCTAGTGTGGGAATTCCCACACAAGCAGCTCATGTAGTTTCAAGTGGCATCTTCTGTGCAACTTGGCCTAGAAGCCATTCCTAAGTCTTTCTCTCCCCTTAGCACAATGCCGCACCATGAAGAAGCTCGTGCTGGCGTCAATAGCCTTTGTGGGCAGCTGTCTACTTGCAGCCCTCCTTGTAGGAGGGGTCCTTGCTTTGGGCCTGGCCTTGTTCCATTCATACCATCACAGCAAGGTGCCAAGGCTGAGGAGGAAGAGGAAGCTATATCCTTACCATGAAGAGCTGCAGACAGTAGTGGGTGCCCTTGTGCCCTCAGAGGAGATGGAGAAGGAAAAGAGAGAATTGAATGCAGCGACTGAAGAATTGCAGCAGGAGTAACCAACTCCTGCAAGCCACAATAAATACTTTATTTCTATACAGCTTACTACTTGTTTGTCTTGACTTGTTTGCTTAGTTCAGCCAGCAATAGAATTGGGCTTCCTTAACCTCCTCCATCAGGGCAAAAGGATGTGCAGCCCTTGGCTTGAAAGAGACCTCTCTTTGAGAAGAGGGATACTGTGATGTTCAATGAGTCAGAATGGGGCTTGAACTTCCAGCTGTATTTTAATTAAGTATATTACTTTCCTCCCTCCTCTGCTCTCAATGTCTCTCTTAGACAATGAAAGAAGTATTTGAGACCCAATCCAGTAAAAGATGGGGTCACTGCAGGACTTGACAATCTGATACACTTATGAAATGTTCTAGATGCATAAGCTACCTATGATCGTCTGCCATATTGGTGTCCCAGAACAGGCTTGGGGGTTGGGGGAACTAATACAGAGAGCAGGTGTCTCACAAGTTCAGCCTGTAAACAACCAGTGTTTATGCAGTATC